GCCACTTTGGAGGGGAAAAGGCAGGAAGTGGGAAGGAGGGGGGGAGGAGAGCGCCAAACCTAAGGCTTAAAGGAAGGCACTGAGGCTGCCCAGCGCGAACCATGGTGGTGCTGCTGTGGTGGGTGGCTTCCATTCCCGTCCCGTCAGGTTCGGACTGCCATCATCCACTTTCTTCCATTCGTTCACTGACACGACCGGGCAGTAACCGCCCGCAAAGTACCTTTCTGCCAAATTTACTACCAAAGGTACTCATTATTACTGAACTTGAACCCTGAATGGCCCTGGATGGACTGTTCCTCTCCACGGATTCCATTCGGTTTGTGAGCGTCAACAGAAGCATGAGCCGGGCGCAGCAAATGCAAATGTGGCTGGTGACTAATGAGTTATGATTATTGATTGGTCATTACCGCCTCAGTCTGTCCCCAGGGGATTGGGAGGTTGACAAACGATGACACCCATCGAAGTTCCTCGTCTCATTCAGTCATCATTGGCCATTCACTCTGAATCGTCAGCCTCAATTACCGGGCGACAAGTTTCATTCAAACCAAACAAACAGTGGTTCTGTGGCCACTTTCTTCCAGTTGTGATGGACACTCAGAGGATACCTTGAGCTGTGCACCGCCACATCCTCATTTGACAGCACCTCACCTACAACACTACCTACCTAACTGATGACAATTGCTGACTGGTGGCGGCTTTGGTTATGCCACTCGATGACTCAGCAGGTGCATCAGCCTCACCACTTCTTAGCCTGGCCGAAGCGGTTCCCTACCTACTGTACACAGTATAGTCTTCTGCCAATACAACAGCCCAGACTTCAGAGTACCAGTACCTAAGCATCTGCATCTACCTGCCTTAGTATAGGCGCCAAATGCCCTAAGTAACCGCGTAGTATTATCGATTGCTACCTGGATGGCAAGAGAAAAGACATCTTATGCATCCTACCCAACTGGGTGACGGATCTGACCCTCGATGCCGTCTAGCCAACAGCGGCGCATCAGTTCTCACGCAAGAAAGCACCCCGGATTCCGGAATCAGCTCATCCTTCTGGGATATGGCGTACCTGAAACCTCGTACAACATGTGTCGTTCTTGCTCGACACTCACCATTTTCTTCTCGGCGGTCTCTTTCCATCAACACCAACTCCTCGCATCTCTGCCTGCACTCTACATTTTGCATTTTTGCATCTGCCATCCCATGGCTGCCCCCGGCTACCGCGAATGACGTCCGGCTCTTAGGTGTCGCCCGAATCCTGTACTTGACTTGGGTACCGGGCGAAGCCCAAAAACACATGTACCTCTCGAGCATCTCATCCTGGGTCTGAACTCTGCCGGCTGCTGCCGAACAAAGGGCCAAGGCATTGCCCTGGCATGTTTCAAACCTTTCAACCCCAATCCGCACCCAGCCTGTTCCTATTCTTGTACTTGACCTCCCCTGCTCCGGCTTTTTCCTTTTTCACAACAGCCCCTCCCCAGGCAAGTCTCGCTATCATCAATTCCCACGCTCCAAGTTGTGGCTGAGCCTAGCTACCAACAGTCCCATCTAATGTCCCGAAATGCTTCATTGCATGACCGACAATCTGGGGAACCGTGTCTAGCACTCGGCAAGCACGCACTATTCGGAACTAATTCCGGGTATTATTCAAAGCGGACATAACACCTTTGACCGCATCCCATCTAAGACTGTCCGCGACGACGTCATTCGCCGACACCGGGTATTATGTAATCATCATCTTCAGAGGTTCAGCCAATCAGATACGACCCCCATTGTGCCTCGGATGCTGCTCGGGACAGCTCCTGGCGGGGAAGACGCCCCGTGCCCGGTCTTCAAGACCATGTTCCCGCCATGATGGCGGCACGATTCCTCCCCAACCAACCGTGAGGAATAGTCAATTAATCAGGAGTAGCCAGAATGTATCGCAACGCCTTGAGAACATGCGCGAAACGATGCGACGCAAGGCGCACCTTGCCCGCCGCGAGAACCTTCGCCTCCGCCTCTGATGGCCCGGTCTTCAACTGGGAGGATCCCTTGAATGCAAAGAACCTATTGACTGAGGAGGAAGTCGCCATTTCTGAGACGGCTGAGCGATACTGCCAGGAGCGCATGCTGCCGCGTGTTCTTCGTATGTTTTCCCTTCCAGTAACTGCCATGGCTTACACTAACCACTCTCCATAGAGGCCTACCGCGACGAGCAATATGACCAGAAGATCCTTGAGGAGATGGGCGAACTGGGGCTCCTCGGAGCAACAATCGAAGGCTATGGATGTGCCGGTGTCTCTACCGTTGCCGGAGGACTCATCACAAAGGCCGTTGAGAGAGTCGATAGTGGCTACCGCTCTGGCATGTCCGTCCAGTCGTCGCTGGTCATGGGTGGCATTGCTGAGTTCGGCACCGAGGAGCAAAAGGAGAGATTCCTGCCAAAGATGGCCACAGGAAAGATGCTCGGCGCGTTTGGTTTGACAGAGCCCAACCACGGCAGTGACCCCGGCTCCATGGAGACGACGGCTAAGCCTCACCCGACCAAGGAGGGCTACTACTCTCTTTCTGGTGCCAAGACATGGATCACAAACTCGCCCATTTCCGATGTGTTGATGGTCTGGGCGAAGCTGCAAGAGACGGGTAAGATCAGAGGGTTCCTAGTTGAACGGTCTCAGTGCCCGCCCGGCACTCTCGAGACGCCAGCCATCAAGAACAAAAACGGCCTGCGAGCCTCCATTACGGGCATGATCCAGCTCGACGATGTGCCAGTCCCGAAGGAGAACATGTTCCCCTCGGTCGAAGGACTGCGAGGCCCCTTCTCGTGTCTCAACAGCGCGAGATACGGTATCTCCCTGGGCGTCATTGGTGCCCTTGAGGACTGCATTGCCCGCGCCAGGACGTACTCGCTTGAGCGGAAGCAGTTCAAGGGCAACCCCATCGCCAAGTACCAGCTCGTACAGAAGAAACTGGCCGACGCTGCGACGGACGCGGCATATGGTACCGTTGCCGCGATCCAGGTCGGCAGGCTCAAGGATGAGGGCAAGGCGACGCCCGAGATGATCAGCATGGTCAAGCGCCAGAACTGCGATCGGGCCCTGCAGAATGCGCGCGTGCTGCAAGAGATCTTTGGTGGTAATGCTGTCAGTGATGAGTATGGTATTGGGCGTCACGTTGCCAACCTTTTCGTGACGCAGACGTACGAGGGACAGAGTGATATTCACAGTGAGTTGCTCCCCTGGTTGCAAGCTTTTGGAATATTTGTCACTAACCTAACCAACAGGTCTCATTCTGGGTCGGGCCATCACTGGTATCCAAGCATTTGTGTAATCTTGTGAGATGTGAGAATGCGGTCTTGTATATTACCTTGACGCCGGGGAACGGGTACGGTGGATCAAAACATACAAATCTTGGATGAGAAACCTGCAAAATCTATGTCTACTATCAAATTTGCCCTTACCTGCGATGCAACGCATCTCAGGCGGGAGCACATCATGATCATGAACCGCTTTAACCTTGTCACTCTTCAAGATCGAATGATGGATGCACTGCTATTGTGGGAAGCTCAAAAACATTGCGACATTTTCGATAATCCTAATTAACTCGAGGCAAAGCCTGTCGGATTAATCGCGGCCGCAGGCGTCCTCACCTTGCTATTGCGCTAATGTTCTAATGAACTGGCGTGGATGCTCATCCTTCACGGGGCTAGTAGCCTAGAGGTAGGACTAACTAATAGGACTCAAGCACGCACCCTCAGCCTCACAGCCTCACTTCCGACTATCAAGCACCCCTCCATCTACTTGTACCTAGCTGAAGTTGACTTTGCTTAATTTAATCATTGCTTCCTTCTAGGACTGATGAACCACTCAAACACAATTGTATATCAAATTTCCTTTTTGCTTGAATCTCCCGGCGCAGATAAGCTTACGCCATCGATTTCCCAGCGTGGATCTGCGGGTAGCAGAACCAAGGTCTCGAAACAGCCTTCAGTATTGTCTTCCGCACACTCGTCGCCTCAAGGAGTCCAGGTCCTCTGATGATTCCTCTCCCACTGCGCCATGTGCTCGCTTCCCATACGCCAGTATTACGAAGCAAGCCGAAAATCAAGCAATGACATCTCTTCCCCCATCACAAGACGCCGCAACCGAGACGATCGACTGGGCGCAGCGGTGTCGACTGAGAACCTGCCTCGGCGTCCTCGCCGGAGATGTCTCTGCTTCAAATGGGACGATGTTGTCCTGTAGGTGTCCGAATCCGCTGTTGTCGAGGGATCTCAGCACGCTGGGGTGGGGAGTGTTCATCGGGGATGATAGGAGGGGTGAGGATGGGGGGTTTGTAGAGAGGTTTTGGGAGTGGTGGAGGGATCTGAGAGAGGTGTTAGAGGAGGATTGGAGGAAGGGAGGGATGTGGGATTCTGGAGTTTTGTGAGGGTTTGGTTGAGGGGAGGTGGTTGTGGTTGTCGAGGCTGTGTTGCTTGGATGAAGGTATTGGCTTAGTGGAAGATGTACTCACCATGTTTCGGCTACGTGTATCGTGTTAAGAATGTCTTCTTGTGTATAAGGCATTAAGTGATGGAATAAAGATTCTGGGCAATCCCACGGGGCTCATACATGTTTTCGGGGCCAATATTACAACTTGCTCCACTTAACCCGTACATGTTCGTTCTTCCTACTTATTGACTCTGTAGCAAGCGTGCCCTAGATCGCAAATTGCTTTAACCCAATTGCCGACTTAGAGTGATCCGATCGTTGTACGAAGTTGAACTGCACTGAGAAGAGAATAGATGTTGCTTGTATTGGTAGACAGATACGCCATTGTTGAAATGATCAGCTAGCTATCTACGTGTCCATGCAGTACTGTCCTCGAAGACTTGAAAGGATAAAAGCTGTATACTAGAAAGTGAAGAAAGATTATGACGGGGGTAGATGATCATGACATGGTCTTGGTGAGATCGGGGAGATGAGTGGGTTGCCGCCTGGACGCCTCTCCTGACCTGAGTCCTGACCAACCCCTTGATTAAGATTCTACTCAAACTTGTAGGCATCGAACTTGGCAGGGATCTCATCCGAGCTTCCGCCGTTCTCCCAGATAGAAATACTGTTGGTGACAAAGAGGTTAGTAATTTTGACAATGAAAGGGCTGGGAAGTGAGACAAGAGGAGGTTTGATTTATGAAGATGAAGGGCACTATAGCTTACTAGAAGAAAAGAACTCAATGTCAGTATATATGAACTTCAGAGAGCAGAGAATATCAAATACACGGCTGTACTTACCAGTTCAGTGTAAAGAGCATCATCAAGACCAGTCATGTTATACTTGGGTCCGTTCTCAAAGACCATCAAGTCGCCCTTCGCAACGGAAGTGCAGCCTCCGGCAGAAGCGGCGCAGGTCCCATCCTCAGCGGCGCCCTCATCGCGCTTCTTGGTAGCGAACCCATAGTTGCCGCCAGAGTAGTTGCTCCCGCCGCAGCAGACGTTCGCCGCGCCGTTGGACTGGGCGACGTATTTGATGTTCTTGCAGTCGCCGCCGCTGAAGGCGCGGCCGATGATTCTCCAGTTGGTCGGGATGGCGCGGAAGCCGATGCTGCGGAAGACGTCGCCAGAGGCGCGAACGCAGCAGTTGTCTGGGTTGGCGTTTGTGCAGACGACGTAGTCTCCGCCGCTGCACTTTTCGTTGCTGCGGTAGCCGTAGATGTCGATGGCCGAGACGGTGGCGATGAGGCCGAGGAAGATCTTGGAGGCGTACATTTTAAGAGGAGGTGAGGTTTGAATTGGGAATCGTGTTGTTTCTTGAGTAATGTGATTAAGTTTGAAGTGATGATGATGATGATGATAGACAATAGATGAGAGCTTTTGAGTGAGCCAAGTCAACCTTTTATAGAAACTTCTCGAGCCTCGAGACATGACTTGTTGTTCTGGAAGTCCGAGGAATAGCTGATGTCAACTCGATAGTCCATGGTTGTCATCCCAGTCACTTCCTGGATAGCTTCGCCCGGTGCTAGTGCCAACTTCCTATTGCCACGGTATCCATGACCATGAACCTAGACTCTAGGGAGGAAGACAACAAAAGTTCATCACCACCACAGGTCGATGCTATGATGGATCAGGCCCTTGCGTTGCAAAGCAGTTAGACTGGAACATGACCGATCGTCATATCCACAACTGCTTTCAATACCTTGTTCTAGTGAGTATGCACTTCGATTAATCGACCTGACTTAGAATACTCATCGCCACACCAGGGTTCCTTTGATTGGATGTCAACCTGAGAAGCAAAGGTCCCTTGCCATCGGTTCAAAGAAAAATGTAAACGAAGTAAGCAAGATGGACCGGGCCGTCCCCTATACGAGCCAATCAACTCGCGTACGGAGCAAATGTAGCGCGGGAAAGTGAGGTAAGCTTACTTGCATGAGAGCCAAACTTCAACGACAACACCTCAATCCGGCTGCTTTCCGTCCAAGCAAAGAACTAAGCCTTGTTGTCTCTGTCCTACATGCAGGGGGCTAATTTTCTCTTCAAGCTAGTAGTTGTCTACCTGGCGGCTCAGCATAACTATGTCCGTTTCACTACATACTAGTAGTTATGAAGTCTGCCTGTGAGGCCGAGACCTGCATAGGTCTAAGGCGAATATGCTGTTACTCGATATTTGCTAGATACTCGAACGTAATATCATGACATACAATTGTGTTAGGGCTAAATCTGAGCCAGTAGCCCTTGACACCCATTGAGTGACATGTCAGCTGAAGCGCTTCACTTTGCGCTCGTCTCAGCCCACCGCCGTTGATCCTTAGTGTAACATCGTTTTGATTTAGTCATACTTCACTCGAAACTCGGGCGAAGTATCAAGGACATAGCCTGGGTATTCAGCACTTTGAATGAAGCTGACGCAACATCCAATCTGCGGAGCACAAAAAAGCCTCCCGGAACTGAATTTGTGTCACTGTAATGCCCGAGGGAGGATTGCGCAGGCTGATTTCCGTTCATGATAGGCGCCTCACTTCAGACGTGGGGCAAAGCTAGGAATGAAAGGGACATATTTTTCACAACCTCGTGTCACCAGAGGTCGTGATAGTAACACCCCAGCGGACTTGTCGAGGTATATTACTGCTTTTGGCCTCGAAAAAAACGATGATCATGCTGGACTAGACCAAGTATTACGTAGGAGATCTCATTTCATGCTCCATTTAAGACAGCCGTCTACGTAGGATATATTGCCTCACTCAAAGCTGGTGAACCCTCCGAGGATCGAGCATTAGTGGCTTTGCCAGGTGACGAAGACTTCGAGGTTACATTGCTCCTGGGACTTCCTGTAGAGGTTGGGTCCCTAAGTGCTGGCATCATACTGCATAAATATCAAATGTGCGTGATGTAAGAGGAATCCAAAAAAAAAAAAACCCCCCCCGAAAAAAACCCCCCGAAAAAAACCCTCAACGAGATCATAGGAGTTGAGGGACGATTCATGGTTGGAGATGGCGCGCAATCGGACCGTGAGGAAATGATGGGCTATGCTGGATTCGCTTGTCGACTTCGAGCAGATGCAACAGAAGAATTTCAGCGTCTGCGGGTGGTTGAAGTAGCAGCGAGTGAGACAAAGTCGGAGACGGCCTTGTATCGGCTTATTCTTCCTGGAGACTGGAGTTTGGTATACACATACTTAGACTATTGGGCATCATCCGGAACCCGGTGGGACACGAGAAAAACCGACTCCGTACCCTGGCTTACCACACGGTTCCACAATGCGCTGTCTCTCAGTGTCTTCTCTACCCCTGCGATGTTCTCTTCCTTGGTGCCGTTGCTGTCGATCTGAGAGGATGTCAGAAGGATTCCTTTTAGAAATGCAACGAAAGACATTAACGCCTACATTGACTAGCAATCCTGCTTGACGGTAGTGTCGTTCCACAGGCGGTCCTTCCTCCAAGTACTCTGCGAACCGCCTCGTGAATTTCTCCCCGCTGTCGTTCTTGTCGCGGCCACGCGCGAGATATCTCGCTTCTGCGTTCTCTTTCATCACATTGAGTGACAAGACGATGTCGGGTTTTGGGTGACCCTCCTGCTCGAGTTAGCCATCCTGTTGCTCACATGTTTGGCGTACATCCGCATCAACATACCAATGGAAGACGTTCTTGAAAAGGCCACTGCGCCCACGAGTTAAGCTGCTCCTCGCACCTCGGGAAGCCGTCGATCAATATCCCGTTCAATTTATCTTGCCGGATTGCATCCTCGATAGCAATGCCCAGGAATGGGTTCAACTCCGCAGACGTAAGGAAGCCTTGATTGTCTAACTTGTCTTGGATCGTAGCGGCGAGAGGTGTCTGGCGGTTCCCTTCATCCTTCATCCAAGTGCGCAGATTATCTCCCACTGAAAAATGTAACAAGCCATGTTTGCGGGACAGATGGTCGCAGATCGTGCCTTTCCCTGAACCGGGAGCTCCTATCAAGATAGTGAGCAGGCTTGCATTTTGCCTACCGATTAGGGCCGATATGTGACCAACCGAGGACAAAGATCACTGCAAATTTCTGTTGATTTGGGGCCGTATTGGTGCTCATGATATGGCTGGTGAACAGTCTGCTTGTTTGGTTGACGTTGACGGTGTGCTGGCGTGCCTAGTAACGTCGGGAGGGAAGGTGCATCATCCCCGTCCCATGCCACGATTGGATGGCACAAGAGACTTGTCTTATTACATAATTACTTGTGATACCGGCATTTGAGGGGTTAATTAATAAGTCCTCGGTGTTGATTGGAAGCACTGAACTCTAATAATACCTGACTTCATTTAATTTGGGCTTCACTGTGTGAACTTCGTATGTTCCTGAATTCCGTTGTTGCTATCAGTTTCATATATCCGCTGTGAGGACACACCTAGAAGCAGCAAAGATAAAATCGACGAGTGTTCCAACATCATGGAGATACTGACCATCACCGCTCAGACGGCGCTGTCGACCATTTTAACCATATCTCCCTTCTTATTCTTATGGGTAATAGGTGTTGCTGTGCTAGTAACAAGCTATTTCTCACTACGACGCCGCGCCGTGACGTCCCGTTCTGACGCATCAAAGACAGCCACCACCCATGAGTTAAAACCCAAGCTTCCAGTGGATGACCCAGACGCCCCTGTCTCTGTCAATTACTTCCCATCACGGGAATGCAACTACGCCTGCGGATTTTGCTTCCATACCAATACGTCCGGCTACATTCTTCCCCTGGACGAAGCCAAGCATGGCATGCGTCTTTTGAAGGACGCTGGCATGCGTAAGCTCAACGTTGCAGGCGGTGAGCCATTCCTCCATCCGAAATTCCTAGGCGAGCTGCTACGGTACTGCAAGGAGGATCTGGACCTCGAAAGCATCAGCATCGTCAGCAACGGAAGCAAGATTCAAGAGAAGTGGCTCCGCCAGTATGGCCGGTATCTGGACATTCTGGCTATCTCTTGTGATTCCTTTGTTCGTGAGACGAACAAGGAGATCGGTCGCGGAGAGAATGGCGGAGCGGAGGGAGAAAAGGACCACATTGCACAGGTATTCCGCATCGCTGAATGGTGCAAGGAGTACAACATCATGTTTAAGCTCAACACTGTCGTCAACATCTACAACTGGAACGAGGACATGGCAGACACAATTGCGCACTTGGCGCCGTTCCGATGGAAGGTATTCCATTGCCTGTTTGTAGAAGGCGAGAACGAGGATGAGACGCGGGTGCGTGACGCAAGAAAGCTTCTCATCTCGGAGGAGCAATGGCAGACGTTTTGCGGGAGGCACAAGCACCTGCCCTGCTACATGCCTGAGGACAATGAGACGATGGCCGGTAGCTATTTGCTGCTGGACGAGAAGCTGCGCTTCCTCGACAAGGGCAACGGGCCGATGAAGAAGAGCGAGTCCTTGCTTGATGTTGGAGTGAAGAAGGCCATGCAGCAGGTAGCATGGGACAAGAGCGCGTTTGATAAGAGAGGCGGTGTCTACGAGTGGCGAAAACCGCAGGCTGAAAGCGCCGAAGGTGGTTGTAATAGCGAAAGCAAGAAGGAATTAGAGTGGTAGGTAATAGGCGGATCATGGATGGTGGTATGTTCCCGATTTAGGAGGAGGTGGGCTCTAAGGTCAATTGGAAACCGGCAAAGCAGCTTATTACGCAGACTGAAAATTCAAGGTCAAGGCAAAGGGCAGGCGGCGGTTGATATTTAGGCCACAGAATCATGGATCTCATCTGAACCACGCCGTCTGATATCAGACTTGGAAGAGCAGTTGTCAGTTGATCGGATGACATTATGACACAGCTGTTGATACTCAAGATCCAAGGATTCCAGGTCAAAGTTCCTAGCCCACTTCTTCCCTCAGATCTCTATTTGACTTTTATTTTTTTCCCTCATGAGGCACTTGTTTTTTCTTGATTACTTAGGTATACTTTAGCTAGAGATGGCCTGTGATCCCGCTCCGTTCGGTCGACTTTAGCCTGTTTGCTACCTTCTAGAACTGACGCATGGCGAACGACTCCTTTTGCAGGAAATAGGGCCGAATTCCTAACAGTAATTTGGTTCGGAATAACCGACAGTAAAACTTTGAGGAGACGGAGACTTCTTCATCTTTAGTGCTGCTTCCAGGATATAGTCAGGCTTCTAGAATTACGGAGACTCTTCCTTCGGTATTACAATTTGCCGCAACCCTGATCGCAATCCTGGCGGTCAGCGAAAAGTTCTCATAGCGCTTGGCAGACAAAGTCTGGCAACTGCAAAAAGTAATTGCAGTCATAAGACTATGCGAAGTCTGTTGAGGAATGCCAATTCCGTGACCGTGCTTATCGCACGCTTGCCAAGATGGGTTAAACATAACAAGCTTTGCGGCTCCAGACCGTACTTTTTATTCTGGAAGGTTGACAACCACATTCCTTTAGGAAGTATACCACTTGAGACTGGATCATGGCCTGGTCAGAGCTCGCTACCATACGGGAGCTCTTGCCAAAAACCAAGAGAGAGTTTGCCGTATCGTATAGACACAATCAAAGACAGTTTCTGCTACCACAAACACGGGCACTTTGAGCTTAGTGTCGACCCATTGGCCCAAATAACAGTGGATATACGACGCAACTGAGCTTTCAGGCAGACTGATGTAGGGCAGAAGAGAACGAGCTCGATAGTATTTAAACCAAGCTGATGGCTTCTACGTCTGCGAATAAGAATATCATAACCGTATCACTGTATCAGTCAATTCTCATAATCAACGCTTCAACTTTTACCTTCACGAGCCCAAAATTTTCAATCACCACTTCAACAATGAACATCCTTATTCAACTCTCGCTCCTTCTTGGTGCCGCGTCTGTCGTCTCAGCAGGCTGCTCGGCTTGTCCCCTCGGCAGGTATTTCCAACCCCATTCTAAGCCCACGAGCTCAAGTCGTGCATACGTTTCCGAAGATGGAATCCTAAGTTCATGTTTAGTGGAAGATGTACAGACAGCGCCGGCAAGAACTGCAGAAAGGGCGAGATCAAGTATCAGTGGCTTGTTGCTCAAAACTATTGCTGCCGTGAGCCCGGCTTTGAGACTGTGAAGTGCTGGAGCGCTTGCTAGACAAATCTACGTTCGTGTAGGTTCCCAAGTCATTTGTGAGACTGAAATTCCCATCGTGGTCTTGTCGTCTTTTCTGACTGTACCCTTTCAGACACGAAATAGATCTTGTGCTGTCAAAGGTCTGCTCTGGGCTAAGTTGGTTCGAGTGCGAAGATTATGATTCATGTTGTAGTTACCATAAATTCGAATCACAATTTCCCTCACCCATGCCTTCTACCATAAAACGGACAGCTTTTCTTTCTACCTTCAAGAGTTCCGCTTTGATGTCGATGGGGTTATCCGAGCCAGCTACCCCTAATCCACTTTTACAAGTCAACACTCCTCCTGATGAGCACAAGCCGTAGTATTGTGCACCAACCTAAACAAGGAGAGACGAGCCAAAGGTGCAATCACAATTACTGATGTATCCTGCCATTCACCCCCTCTTTAATCAAGTTTGAACCTGCTAACTTTGGCTTAGGTATTGGCGGAAACTCATGGAGAGCCTATTCAAATAGCAAGTTGCGGGTTGCAACTGTCTCCCTGCACTCACAAATGTGCGACTCACTCGGACAAACTTGATGCAGTCGGCGAGTGATTTGACCGAGCCCGGAGAATGGGTTATACACGTATTTGATTTCTGTCGATTCGTGGAGTCCAACTTCCCGGCAGTAGTTTCTAGACGCCCGCCAAAGCCGGTTTCCCGGTAGGATATTGGGACACAAACTCTATTTCATGCCACCGAAACAGGGAGTGCCAAGACTCCCGTAGTTCATCTGGTCGATAGTATTATATCGGGAGTTTCCCGAACGGAAGGATTACTCCCTCGAACTTCTTTAGAAAAGAGTTCTCGACCAGTGCCGGCGGGATTTACTGATCAGTAGCCATCAAGGACGAGACGATCGGTCATCCCCGGGCCAAGCGAGAGCGGTCATGAGTCGTGATACACGTTAAGCGTGGATGGACCCCTATGCGCCCATAGTATCGCCTTGTGGTCTTCCTTGCGACAAGTTTCCAGGGGCCTAGAGACAAAACAGCAGTCAGAGGGTTGAACTCTATTCACTACGACTGGAAAAGACCCCTTGAATTCCCATCTTTTACACTCAAGCACCTTGTTCGTTAGAAGGTGCTGGGCAGGACTGCTCCGTAAGAATACTCGTAACACGATTCAATATCACTACTGGAAGCTTAGGCCATTTGTTTGAGATCCTTAGGCTGTATCATGGTGCACAGCCTTCCTTGCGTAGAAGCGTAGAACGTGATGCGTTTTTTAGGCGGTTCGGCGTACGGCATAGCCAAACTGAACGCGACGAAATTGTATTCTACGAAACGGAACTTTTGAAATGATTCGATGCGAGTTGTGAGCTGGCGCTTATGCGTTCTCCATCGAGCAGGGTGGCAAAGAGGTCCACTAATGGAGCTATTCATAAGTCAGTCGTGTAAGCTCCACCATCCATCATGAATGCATCCCGTATAAAGGGCAACAGATCCTACCGTAGTTTCATAGCCCACCCAGCTGAACTACCACTCAAATCTCAAATTCTCTCTCATCTCCAACACAGTCTCTATCACAACTACCATCGCTAAAATGAAGTTCCAACTCCTTCCTCTCGTTGCCCTCCTCGCAGCTCGAGCCTATGCGGCATGCGGCCCTGATGAATCCGAGCTCTTCGACCTCCAGGTTACCACAGGCACAAGCCAATGCTCCAACTTTGGCTGTTTCAAAGCTTGCACTTTCCCCGACGGCAGCGGTTCATGCAACGGCTGTACTCAATCAGTCTCTAATGACCACATTCGGCCACTTGGCGGTAGCTACTGCTGCAAAGGACCTCTTACAGGCCAGACCAACAGTTGTGTGACCGGTTGCCCTGCAGGTTAGGCTACTTTCTATCATATGTCATAAAGAAGTCGAAGTACTAACATTGAATGCTACAATAGGAACAAGAAGTTGAATGTTTTCAATGTTCTACTCGGCTACGGCTGCTTAAGCTCGGCGAAATCACCAAACAGCTGGGCTGGGTTACCGTATGATTGATCGAGACTGAATATTTTCTTGATTTTTGAAGGATAGTACAGCATCTGACTCGAAGTAAGGGGGAGTTGCATCATTGAGTTATAGCGTAACGTTCACCCGGATACCAATATACCAGCATTGTCTGAGTCAATTCGAATTCATGTAACCAATTGCCTGATGCACAAGCCGAGTACGCTGTGATTGTGTTGTCTGGCGTCTTGACCTGACTGAACATCACGGATACAGATTAGGGAAGCAGCGTCAGTAGCCGCGGATCAACACAGATGCCAAAATACTCACTAAAGTATTATTGTTGATCATTCGAGCATTGAGGCATGATGCTAAATATCTAGACACCCGCGAAGTGCCATCCATTCCGTTGGGAATCCTTCATCGGCACCAAACGAACCTTGATATCGTTTGCCAAGCTGTTCATCTGCCTGACAGTCTCAAGATTCTGACTCCTGGCCTGCAGATCCTCATCAAGGCCATGGAATAGGAGTGCTAGAGGCGAAGACTTCCAGACTGCACGGTCTGGCCCATCCCCGGATCTCCTTCGTTTGCTGCACGCAACCAACACCAGGGTCGAAAATATCCACTGTAGAGCAAGAAGGGCTATGGGGTATGCTATATAGCCCCATTGCACATAAATGCATGTTTGGGTAACAATGACATGCCCAGTAGCCGCCCTGAGATTAACAGGTACGTTGCTGCTCAACTCCTCAGATGTTCCATAGGGATCATTGCGTATCGTAGCCGTCATTGAGTCAGCCAACCCGGCAACTACATTGTTGACCGTTGACATGGATGCGTTTCCGGATGCAAACAGTTGCTGGCCCCAGACTGAACCTTGGACCCATTGATGTGATTCGGCCTCTGGAGTGGTCATTTTACCGCTCAGAAACTCAGTCATCGTCTCCCTCATCCCCTGCCAAGAGCTTCTGTCTACAACCCAGACGCATTCTTGCGGATAGCTCTTCCAGGTGAGTTTCTCTGAGTGAGAGATCTCGGTGGAGTTGTCAAAAATCTCTCTGAATCCATCATCCCTGAAGCCTATTCGAACGGAATTACTCGACCTTTCGTCTACTTCTTTGCACGTTTTCTCTGTGCCATCGACCAAAACAGAGTCTGTAAGCAATGAGAAGGAATTCTCATTTTCGGATTCATCCAAAGTTGCGGGGCGTCTCTTCAGCAGTTGTACATCATCCTCCGCCTTTTCCGTGTAAATTCCATCAGTCACCGTAGCTTGATATTTCTTGACACAGGGGTCGATTCTGCATTGAGCTGCAAATGGTTTCCTGGTCATCGGCGAATTTCCAGGCCCACATGAATCGCACTTGAAGGATGTGAGCGACAAAATATCGAAGCTGTAAATGGGAGGCGAGCTGCTGTCGTACGCCCGACTGGGCGTGGGCGTCATCGTCAGAAGCATGCCGCCGCCTTCCCCTTGAAGAATCCTCTCGTCAGTCTTGTTTTTGCTCCATG